AACACTGGATATGCAATTAGCCTCAGGGTATGAGTTTGCAAATAAAAGATCTAGTGATCACACAGACCAACAACTACTGGAATTCCAGTGCAAAAAAGAAAACCCGATATAAAAAGTCTAAAAACACGCCCAAAATAACAGAAAACCCAAACCTCTGCTTGGATAATAACCAACAACGTGGTTTCCACAAAACAAGAATATTACAAACGTAAATCGACACATGTATAACCAGGGGAAGGCGAGTAAGAGTGCTATTTTAGTACCCATCTACACACCAGGGACGATATATCGCACGTAACGCGAAGTTGGCAGGAAAGGATTGCTGATGCAGCCGCAAATTGGGCTTCAACGTCGTAAATGGGGCTTAAATGTAGATATACGGGCAATCAGCGTGTTGGGAAATACCCAGATCATTGGAAGAGATACGGCTGTGATATCCTCCGTGGTTTGGCAGGGATTTCCCGGCTTATTGTTCAGACTGCCTTGAGAGTTGGGGATTTACAGATGCTGTATCAAAAAGTTTATTATAACAACGCTGCGGTTGGTTTAGATAACATAGTACATGTACGTCAACGTTATCACGATGTGTCGCTCTTTCCAACATCTATGGTCTTTTTGTGACAAACCTAGTGGGAAAATACGCTGTGCTTAAAGTCACAATGGCTACCTACAGTTCAAAGATGTACGTCTAACTTTATCAAATAATTAGTCAACTTCAAACTTGGACATAAGACCACTGCGGTTAGGCTAGATAACATAGTGCCTCATATGTTGTCACGGTGTGACGTTTTTCCAACATTTAAGGTATTTTTGTGACAAACCTAGTGGGAAAATACGCTGTGCATAAAGTCACAATGGCTACATACATTTCAAAGATGTAAGTCTAACTTAGTTGATTAAAGTAGTGCATGGACGCTGTATAGCTCATAATAGCCAAAGTAGCCACATTAAAGCAAATGGTTATGTAAAATGACACCTAGAAATGCACCTAAAAATGCACTGCAATACAAAATAACTCTTTAAGATTTTTACTTCATTCTTTAATATGTTAACTTTCAAATGTAGCTGATTTTCTCCCCTTGCTTTGCACCAGTATACTCAAACGTCCTGAAAGTATTTGTAAGAAATCCCTGGACATAAAAAGCTGTACTGTTTTCGAACCTCCCCTTGGAGCCAATTTGCACCACTCCATCCGGGGGTGGGTTGTAAGGCTTGATATGGATCGACCTAGTTGGTGTAAAGATGTACGAGCGTGTTCCATTAATGAAAAACAACATCAATATCCAGCATCATTAGCGTCTGCTGAAGCATCATTCATGATCACTCCAACATTAAAGGCATCCAATGCAGTTTTTAGGACTTTAGAAACCAAAGTTTTCAAAGTCAATATTACTTGTCAAATTATCCCAATGTATATTGACCCTCAAGGAGCAAAAAGACAAAAAAAATCAGAAGGAAAATGGTTAGTGGAAGGACCCTTGGCTGATTTTTAGGGTACCACCCAGAAAATAAAGGACTCATGTTCGGGCATGTTTCTGCAGTGCTAGATACCCAAAGCATGAAATACTGATTGAAATGTGCTAATGTGAAGCAGTATGTGTCAATATCATAAAGATTGCTTTATTCAGAAAAATTCAAATTTTCCTGCTCTGAAATCACACTGGATGCCCTTAACAACAAGGTGTGGGATTTATCTATGGCATATTCTCTGTAGGATCCACTACCTTCCACTTACTCCGCACCTCACGAGGAGATGTAGATTGGGTTGACAATTAGAGAGCTAATTGATGGATGTGGTAATAAGTTCCCGCGTGTTAGTAAGATTCCCCGCTGACACGGCTGCCATCTGTCTGCATCTCCACACACTAATGAGCCTGCCTGCTTTACAAACAATCATAAAACATATACATGTACTTTTATGGTAGCTTTCCTGCTTTCTTTCAGCGCGGTGATCATGATACATAAAACAAACTTCTATTGATTTTCCGTGCATTACAAATCGTTACTAATTTGCAAACACTGATTAAAATAAGTTAAACAAGCTGCTTTTGAAACCGAATTACCAAGGTTGTAGGGTCAAAGAATACGTTGTACATGTATTAAAAATGTGTTTGTTACATCTATGGCTTCTTGTTCACGATTTAACTTGGGAATTGTTGGTTTATTCGTATCCACACACGTATATAGTTGTTGATTTATTTGTAAGTTTGTACCCACTTGTTTCCTTGTAGATATAGTTGCACGGGACCTTACGAAAGTCGCTGTACTTTAGTTGTGTCAAGAAGGATTTCTCTCTGTACTCGTCTTGCCGCCCTGCCTGTGTATCCCATTAGGAAGTCTAGTAAAACCCTGCCAGCGGTGTTCGCCATTAAAACATCAGACACGAGCCATGAAATTTGTCCTTTATAAAGTGCGATGTCCTCACGCCTAAGTTCCCCCGACCCTCAGCGAGATATTGGATATAGAGAATGAAATATGAGGCTTTCTTGCATCGATGCCCGCGTTATTTGCGTCGGAGAAGGGTGTAATATCAATACAATAACAGGTAATAAAAATTGACTAAACTTCATCAGTTCGTTAATGGGCCTTGTTATGAGTTATAGCTAAAGGAAAAAGATGTGATTTATGAAGAGATTTTGAGTTAAAAAGCTTAATTAACATATGCAGCATTATATACATGTATATTGCTTCTACAATAGAGGATTTATAAATTAAAGGAATACAGTGTCAAGTAATAAAGGTTGCTGTGTAATATGCTTAAAGTATGATATTTGGCATCATCTAATATTTGAACATTAATTGGAAGACTTGTCAGATAGACTCGACGTCATCTACTGTTGTTATACACATCATTTTGCTTTTTCAAGTAGCTGCTAGTGCAATGCAGCTTCGCGACGCTTTGGGTTGGGTTCAATAAGAAAAGAGAGGAAAATTGCCCACCAATCATACATGTCATATTTCATTTACGTCATACAATCAGCATTCAGGGAGACTCAAAACACTTCCCTGGGGTCTGAACTCCCTAATTTCTTGTCCTCCATGAGTCCACATACACACCTTTTAATCAGTACAGTTGGTAAAGGTTAGACAACCAGGTAAACGATACTCAGAATTTGTCTTCACTTATTTCCATATCAATCAATAGTTCTTGCTTATAAACCTGCATTTCTCCTGGGGTCTCTTTCGTGTCACTGACGAAAGGTAGTGAATGTTACCTGCAACGTCTGACCGTTAGCAAAATCATATCCAGTTGCTTGAGTAACTGTTTTTCGGCGTAAGAGTGGTGGGTACCACTCGAAACATCCGGAAGTACGTCACCCCGTGATTTATCCTGTAGTAGAGTCTAAATTGTCTATGAAAAACCTCTTAATCTTTCCTCAGAATGCTGACTTAGCCGGGGTTAATAACCTCCGTGGCGCCTGGTACAGAATTGATAAAATCAGTCGTGATTTACGTTCATTACTTCCAGTAGTAATCGCGTCATAACCTTATTAGCCCTCTCAAGACGCCTCCATGGAGAATTAAGATTACGAGCAGGATTAAGACGAATGACGAAGATCCCGTATGTCTTGACGTACGGACGGCGTCTCTCCTTAGTAATAAACCCGGTCTAGCTGTAAATGTCATTTCAGATGTATCTCGTCTTCCTCACGAGGCGGCCCAAAGCTAATTTAGACTGTCAGGATAAGCCTCAGAACGGCAGTCACATCACGACCGACTTGAGGGGCCTTAAACTAAGGAGGAGTAATATGTTCTACAGAAAACACAGGTAGAAATAGATTGTTTTAGATAAGTTAGATATTTAGATTGTTCATAGATAAGTTGGATATTAGCAGCCGGGTGCCTTTTGGTTATTTGGAAGCTGCATGCACACAAATCATCGTTTTCTGTAACCATGGCGTTTTAATGATGAGGCTGAAATAATATTATCCATAAAATATTTTTTCCGCTCAATCAGTCCTCAGGCAACTTATTCCAAGTCTTTGGGTCTTTTTCCCCTTATTGTGGACACAAAAATCCACAAATTATTCATTTTATATAGATATTGAACATTAATTGATCTACAATAAACGATGATATATTGCATATAGAACATTTATATTCATCTTTTGACATCTCTTTAAGAGCTCGCCATGTTGTGCAAGTGATAATATTAACAGGTAATCATGATAGAACAGGTAGGATACTGTTCCACGTTTATTGCGCCAATAAAGGGTAATTGAACTCAGTTTCTATGGCAACGATGACGTGTTCATCCTATTAAGGGCATATGTTCTCCTTAGCCCATTACGGAAACGACATCTGTGATCTGTGTGTAACGTTCCCACTGTGATCAGTCAGACGTAAAGTAACAACAGCACCTTGGAAATTAAGCCACAGGGATCAGGTTTATGCATTAAGACCTTGTCAAATAAAATTTGAGAAAAGTTGTAACAATATAGTGGAACCACATAGTACTAATATCTACTACTATAGATGCTTGTGCCTGTACCTTTAAAGATTAAAGATTCAAGATCACTTTATTGAACATTGCAGTGTATCACTGAATTGCGTCCAATTTACACAATTTAAAAACAATTCAATACCTACAGACATTATTTTACATACTAAAATCCATTGACAATTTAAAAAGACGGTAGTTTAGAATATAGTATTCTAATACAACAAACGCACTGTATCATCATCCCTGCATGCTAGGGATTTCAGACTTCCAGGTTCCTATTTCGTGTTAGACGTAGTAGTTCTATTTCTGATGGTATTAGAACAAAAATCATCTTGCTATAGTAAAAACCATTCCTTAGTTAATAAAGTAGAACCGATCTGTATAACTTTTGTAAATGTTGTATTTATAGTCTTCATCATAGTTTTGGTGTTGTGACAAACTCACGTAATTTATGTAACCCTGCCAATTTGTTTTTGAATTTGTATGAAACAAACAATTAAGTAGAAGCATACCGTTTGTATCATTCTTAAATGTTTTAAAATGCTGTTGTCCTCAGGCGTGTTCTGCCAAGACGCCATCCGGCTGGACATGCCTGAGTCCGTGAACACGGTGCAGAACGCCCCGGTCACCCTCCCGGCCAGATACACCTCCAAACACAACCTGCTCTCCCTCGTCTGGAGTAAGATCTCCCACAACTCGCAGAAGCGCACCATGATATTCTCCTACTACCCCGGGGTGGGCGGACGATCCTATGGCGAGTACGAGGGGAGGGCAGAGTTGGTGGGAAAGGCGTCCCTCCAACTGGACCGTACCACTAGTGAAGATGAAGGGGAGTACGTTCTGGAGATCACGTTTGATGAAATCGGAAGGGAGGAGGGATTCGTGCGACTCAACGTCATGGGTGAGAGGATTCTTGAAAACGTTTCTATTTCTGCATTGACAAATGACTAATAAACTGGTGGACGTACCGACAACTTAGTACATGATACCAGCTCAGAAAAGAACAAGAAATAGTCATGCAATCAAGTACCAGAGTTATGAACCAAGGATTGAGGATTCTAGATATTTTATTACCTTCGCCAAGAAGTTTATGTTTTCATAGCAAACGTTTAACTTTATTTAAACACACAATTGTACAGGGATCAAATTTGGTCTTTAACAATTATAGAGACTACAATACTCAGTCTCCCAATGCTGCATCATACACAAGTTAATTTCTATTAAACTGTAGGTAATGATCCGGAAAATTGATCAATTGGGCGGTGATTTAAAATTCTACAATTACTTTAGTAAATACATCACTGAAAATAGAACCGTTCTTATCCAATAATTTCAGAGGTCAAAAGAAGACATTAAGTTAAAGATCTTTCTTATAAAGTCCAATATCCTAGATAATCAATTGGTTTTACTTATAACCGAATATAAACATGCCTTTCTGAGTTTGTATGGATGGACTGTGCTACTTCTTGCTACTTCTCCTACTACTCCCACGCAGTGATGCTGATTGCAAAGATAGATTGGAGGACTTCATTTTCCACCAGTGTGCATGATGATACATTGTCTAGCAATGTTTGCCAATTTACTGCATGTAATCTGATTTTTGTTTTCATTGCATGTCTTGATTAACGTACAGAGTAGATGATCAGTGGTAATGACCGAATTATGAGTTGACAACGCGGTGTTTTATTTCTCCCTAACGAACTCGTTAGAGGCGTCATGTCATAATTTTTCCAATCAAATTCTTGCAACTAACGAGCAATCATATCCTGATTTTTTTCACGGTACTTTTATGTTCACTGTTTTCACTGTCAGTTTTGTACCGTAAACTTATCATTACAGTTAACAATTCCTTGACTTTCTTTATCCTGCACCTGTTGCCACCGTGAATATGTCAACTTTTTTTCCTCAGACTGTGAAATTTTGCTACCGTGAAGATCAAGTGAATTACAGTATAGCGAGTGAAAATGAGAAACGATATCGGCCACAGTCGCAAAAGGGAAGATAAATCGCATCTCCTATCTGAATGTACAGTAATGTAAAACCGCTACTACTTCTAGCCCAGGGTGCTCTTAAAGAGTTTAGCGTTTGGCTGCGGTGGTTTGGAGTGGCGCCGCCATGACAGATGATAAAGCGCCCGGATTTGCGGGAGGGCAGGCAAACGTTTCAAAGGATTAGGGGCGGTGCAGCCGTTTGAAGCGCCTGAATTGCTATTTGAAAGGGTGGACACGGAGGAAGGTCACTAGGGCTCCTAGCTAATGTTTCTCTTTCAATGCGGAACGAAGCGGGGTGAAATACATACGACCTGACAGAACATAGTACGACATGGGCGGCTGTGTTATTCTGCTGCTAAAGCTGTTTTATTATGTTTACCTTTGCAGAAGGAAAACAAATTGTTTTTGCTCAGTTTCTTCTTCCTCCTCTTCTCCAAACAAATAAGGTCAATGACCTGAACCAGACGTCTGCCACCATGGTAACTGGAGTTGGGTTACATCATGTAGCAATTTTTTAGCAGGAGGGATTTGGACTCCTGTCACCATATATATATGAATCTGTTTGAGTTAACAAGAATTAACAGAGCAGACCATATGCGAAGGTAAAGATTATGCATTTGCTTTGAAAATGTTACCTTTCTAGTTGTAAAGTAGATCATCATGGATTATGAAGTAAGTTGAAAAAAAGGACAATTTCAAAAATAAGAAATATGTATATGTAAAAATCTCTCAATAGCATATATTTGTTATGTTTGTAATCCTATAATTAATACCGTGCAGTCCCCCCTGTTGTACAAGTGGGTCCGTCCGATCCCTACGTCACCACCATGGGCAGGACGGCGACTCTGACATGCGCAGTGAGGGACGCCAAGCCGAACGTCACGGCGCTGCACTGGGAACGAGACGGGGTCAAACTGGACAGCGCGAGGTCACGCACCAAATATGGCGGCGGGAACGTGGACGTTCCCACTCTGCACGTCAGGGGGGTGACCAGGGCTGACGCAGGGCTCTACACATGCGTCGTTAGTCACGTGGTCAGCCCAGCTGCCGCCAGCCTCAAACTCATCGTGCTATGTAAGTGCAATCATATATATCTCTACTATAAACTCAAAGTACTATGTAAGTGAAGTTTTTCCCTGTATACACCACCTCTTAGGACTCCTGGAAGTTCCACACTGAAAGCTTCTTTCCTAGAACGACATCACTATGGAGCAAGCTACCACGTGATTGTTTCCCATATGGGAATAACCTTAAACTTTTAAGTCAACAAACATCTGTCCTGAATGTCTGTACAGTAACCCAAAACATTTGAGTGGCTCCCATGAGCCTAGTTTTGTGGTGAACATGAAGTAAATAAAAAGAAAAGATATATCCAAAAATGCTGGCTCCAGGCCAGATTCTGGGACCTTCACGTTCCGCCAATTCAATTTTTCTAACCTTTTGATGTGTCATTCTGTCTGTCAATCTTCCCCCAACCCCAAAAACGTGCTATCAACCTACTCTTTCCGGACAAATCCACAATCGCAAGCAATACTTCATTACACGGAGATAGAAAATAACAACAACAAAGGAGCATCATGATATTGTAATACTAAGATAAGCAGCTGAAAGTTTCAACCACAACTGCCTTCAACCATCTTATACTGTGTTCTTTGTGGCCTTGCCTCGGATGCTGTAATTGTTTTCCACTATCACGCTAAAACTAATTGTTTTACGCACTGATTACCTCCGCAAGTCACTTTACTTGTGCTTGACTTGCGCTTGCTCAGGTTTGAAATTGCGCCTCAGTTTTCTGAAAGTTTACAAAGTTCCTTGCTTTGGTGAGACTCAGTCTGCAGAGGAAGACCAAACAAATCTCTAACTTCAACCAAGCAAGAAATGAGCTTTCTAGTACGCTGATTCGAATCAACAACTCTCGATCCCTTTGAAGGGAATAACAGATCCTAGGAGGCAATCTTCATCTGAGCACAGAGACAGGGATAGTACAAACATTTATCTATAACTTAAGTCATGTGTTTGTAAGTTTCGTCTTCTGTTGTATAATTGATCATTCAAACCTGAAGAAGGCTGTAGTGTGTTACGCCGAAAGGCGGTTATACCGGCTATACAGATACAGATATAGAAGCTGGTGTGTTACGCCGAAAGGCGGTTATACCGGCTATACAGATGTAGAAGCTGGTGTGTTACGCCGAAGGGCGGTTATACCGGCTATACAGATACAGAAGCTGGTGTGTTACGCCCAAAGGCGGTTATACCGGCTATACAGTTACAGATACAGATCTGC